TCGTTCCGAATATACGCCACAAGGGTTCGATTGTCCGACTGAACTAGAATGTGAGCATTCTGTAGGCAGTGTGATTGTTTCTGGATTGACGCATATACTGCGAACAGCTCTTTCCAATTCGAGTGCCATTTCATCTGATCTTTTGTCCAGACTCCTGACATCATCTTCTCGTTCATCTAGGTCCCCCAACCGGTATCTGCCGCATCGGTTGTGAGGAAGTGGGTGTATGGTCGCTGATGTAGAACTGCCTTGCCCACTAATGAGTGACTCCACCACCTGAGGTCCTGTCGTACTTGTGGTGGCAGGACTCTTTTGTTTTTCAAATTTTGCTTGAAGCGTTTTAGCAGTATTTGAATGTAGCGGCAGTGCAGGCGACCCGTTCTTATGACAAAACTGGCGAAGTTTAGTTGTCCTAGAATTTTTTGCACCTGTTTTAGATTGCATGCATTTTTGCTTAATAATTTTGTTATTGCTGTTTTTATATTTTTTATTTTTCTCTCCGAGAGATACATTGTGTCTGTCTTGGTGTTCCAAGTTATTCCTAAATACTCTAATTGTTGCATTGGCTTCGGCACAGACTTTAGGTAATTTATTTGCCAACCCATAGACTCCAAGAGTCTCACGACTTCCGCAATCTGAGAGACCAGCTTGGCTTGGTCCTGGTGAACCAATAGGAAATCGTCTAGATAGACTAGAACCCGAATTTCCTTGTTTCGCAGGATCTCCGCGATCCAGTTTGTAACCGCTGCAAAAGTGCGAGGAGCAGATGCCAGGCCAAAAGGAAGCGAATTTATTTGTAATAGTTCGTTGTTGTATATCATCCGGAGATAACAACGATGGGATTCTGCAATTGGTATGTGGAAATAGGCATTGGATATGTCTATTTTCACCATCCAGTCCCCCTTTTGAAGGAATTCTGGTATTGAGGCATGGGATATCAGTTGGAAATGTTTGGTATGGACATACCTGTTGAGTCGAGTTGAGTTACCACGGTATGCAGTGCTACGGTTCCCCTGTGAAGATTGGTGATATATTGAAGTTGCAGTTGCAGGTTCATATTGTCGTTTCTTAGGTATTTTATTTTCTTTCAAATAAGTTGGCATATTAAGCCACACACTTGTCCCTCCTAGAGATTGTATCACCGGTAATAAACTATTATGCTCGAAAAGGTGTTCTGCACTTGGAGGCAGCTTTCTGAGAGTAGCTTGTAGGTTTTTATTTGAGATCTCTGATAAAATGCGTTCTCGTCTTATTTCTGTGCACTCTGTTCTCTTCCCACAAACAACTTGTACAATTTGTTCCATGTTCTTATAATATTGAGTGTTAGGTCCAAACACTGTCATAATCTTATTAAACAGATTTTCTGGTGTCAAATCACTTGACGAGTTATTTGACCAATTTACAATCTCTTGTAAATTGCTCCGTACAATTTCCTTGTGTTCTAACAAGCCATTTGTAAGACCAGCCAAAGTTTTTTCTGTGTTTGCTAAGTCTTTTCCCTTATTCAGGTGACACAATTCATCATTAATCTTTAGTTCGATAAAACCTCTTTCCACTCCTCAGTTCCAAAGTGTTGTAATTTTACTAAGGATTCCAAACGACTTTGCGATGCATTCTTTATTACTTTGTTATTGTCAGTAACAGTGAAGACCTCACCTAAATTGAGTTGATTTGAATTTGGCTTTACTAAGAATTCGGAACTGTCAGTAGGGCATGCCTTCGACGTAGAAGGCAATAATGTATTTGATGTAGAAGGCAATGCTGTATTTATAGACAAATAATATTGAAGACAATTAGTAAGGTGACTTACTTGGTGTATTAGTGCTTCGAACCGCGGGTCCGAATTTACGTCATTGGTTTTAATTCTTTTATTTGGAGGACGTGAGGACTCACTTTCAGACTCCGAGTCTGATTCTCCGCTGTCTCCATCCGACGATAAATCCAGATTCTCTCCGCGAGAAGACGAGTTCTGATGCGGAGACTCCTCACTCTGATTTTCCATTAAAGAATCGTCTACTTTTTCCATCTCACTATGAAACTTTTCTTCGGATCTACTTCCGAGTAATTATAAACGTAAAATTCCGTAATTTACTCACTTTAACTCTTAACTTGCTCACTTTTTTAGCAAGAGAATTTTTTTCTAGCATTCACGCGGGAAAATCATAAAACGCTATGACTAGTTGACAGTTTTACAGTGGTGCCATACTTTCACAAAAACATTTATGGTAAAGAAAGTGGCGCCCTCTCCGGTGACAAGCAGGTACTATAAATCAAGTTACCAACATCGTGGGAATAAAAGGTATGTTCACAAAACATTCTTCATATCGACGCTGTGTGTTTTTAAGTAAACACATAATTAAAGATTTTATTTAACCGACTTCAATATAAATTATTAAGAATAACATTATTAGTCAGACCTTGATCAAATTTATATGGGACTTTAGCGAGATAAATAGACTATATAAATAAGTGATAACATTGACAGTTAAAATGTTTAATTTATTACAAAAAAGCAGGAGATACACAGTTTAGCACAAACAAGCAGAAGATACACAAGCCAAGATAAAAGAGTTTATAATAAAAATACAGTCTAGAAAATGCACAATGAATATTAACCGTAATAATTAAATGTCTAAGGCGAGAACAAAGGATTAGTGATAACGAGCAACGTGCGTTCCGCGTCGTATCGGTAGATCGACTGGTGAGCGCAGTGCGCAGACGCAGGCGATCCTTTTGCCAGCTTTGTTAACGGAACTCCGAGAGGCGCGTTCAATGCCCGGCTGTTGCTACGTGCATTGTGTTGAGAGTATATAGTGGCGTGTAAAAGTAATGTATATGCTGAGTGTGAGAGAGTATGTACGTGTGTATCTGTGTAGGTATATGTATGTGTGTATAATGTAGGAAAGTAGCCTACATTCATTCCCCCCAGCAGCCAACTTATGGTCGATAATAGTCCGGGAATCTAACACGGCGTCCAGACCTTGTAATTGGACCCGGATTGGACCCTTTAATATTCTCTGAGGAAGCGGCCTGTATGGGACTGTAACTGCTATCGTCAGCTAAAATGTAATCCGGTTTAAGTCTGTAGATTGAGACATTCATCTTTTTGCCTTTGACCAGGAGTTTAAAAACCTTATCTCCTCTGGAGAGTACCTTGTGCTGACCTGAGTACGCAGGTTGCAAACTCGTACGCGAAGCGTCTTTTCTTAACAAGACGTGTTCAGTAGTTGCTAGATCATTGTATACAAAAGTTTTTTCTTTTGTTTGGTGTGAATCTGGGACAGATTGCAAATGTTTAACAAAATTATGCAACCGGGCTGTAAAATCGGTTACATCCGACGTAACATTTATGGTGGGGTCAAAAAATTCACCAGGTAGCCTAAATGGTTCTTATTACAGCTGTTCGGCAGACGAAGACTGCAAATCTTCCTTAAATGCACTACGAATGCCAAAGAGAACTAAAGGTAAAGATTCAGTCCAATGCTTATCTGCATGGCACATGATCGCTGCCTTGAGCTGCCTGTGGAAACGCTCTATTAAACCGTTGCATGCCGGATGGTAAGCTGTTGTTCTTTCATGCTGGAACCCATTTATCTTCGACAAATATTGGAACAAAGCGGATTCGAACTGTCGACCGCGATCTGTAACAATGTCTACTGGACAGCCATACCTAGATATCCATCCCGACAGTAGTGCTTTGGCAACGGTTTCCGCAGTTATATCTACGATCGATACGACCTCTAGCCATCGTGTAAAGCGATCGACTGCAGTGAGGCAGTATCGAAAACCTTGCGATGGTGGCAGAGGCCCCACAAGATCGATGTGGACGTGCTTGAACCTTGCACGCGGTAAGTTATATGTGCCTAAAGGCGCAGATACGTGTCGCGTCACTTTGGCACGTTGGCAAGCCAAGCAGACACGTAACCACTCTCTGCAGCCCTTCCTGATGCTAAGCCACACAAAACGCTCTGCAACTAGTTTTGCTGTAGCGTTCGCGCCTGGATGGCTCAAAGAATGCAGACTTTCAAAAACTTGTCTGCGCAGCACTTAAGGGACAAATGGTCTGGGAGTCAGTGTACTGACATCGCATTACATACATGTTCTACTCCCAGGAATGTCATACTTCTCTAAGCGAAGGGATGATCCACCTTTGAGAAGTTCTGCCAGTTCGAGATCTGATGCTTGAGCTTCGGCCAATGTACTGAGATTGACGGGCACTTGCAGTTTCTCAACTCGAGATAAGGCATCGGCAACAACATTGTCTTTACCAGATATATGCCTTATGTCGGTTGTGAACAACAAAATGTAGTCTAGATGTCTATACTGCCTAGGCGAACAGTTGCCTTTCCTCTCGCGGAAAGCAAAACTGATTGGCTTGTGGTCGGTATAGACAATAAAATGTCTCGCCTCTAACATATGCCGAAAATACTTAATGGCCTCATAGATGGCGAGAAGTTCTCTATCGTACGGCGAATATTTTTGCTGCGCAGAACTCATTTTGCGTGAGATAAACGCAAGCGGTTGCCACGTGCCGTCTTTATACTGCTGCAATACCGCATCCAAAGCTATATCTGAGGCGTCAGTAACAAGAGCGAGCTTGGAATGTATGTCAGGGTGAGCTAGTAAAGCTGCTTCAGATAGGCTTAGCTTACAATCGTTAAAAGCTTTACTAGCATCTCCTGTTAAATTAATTGGTTGTGAACCTTTTGTGGCTCCTGCAAGTAATGCATTTAAGGGAGCTTGGATGCGCGCAGCATTAGGCCAAAATCGCCGGTAGAAATTTATCATGCCCAGAAATCTTCTGAGCTGGCGAACTTTTTCGGCGAAGGAAAGTCTTTAATCGCCTGAACTTTCTCCTGGAGAGAATTAATACCATTGGCGGAAATTTTATAACCCAAAAATGTTACTTCAGACGCACCGAAAACACATTTAGAGGTGTTGATCAACATCCCGTACTCCTTCAGTCGTTTAAATATCTGGCATAAATGCTCCTCGTGCTCTTACTCGCTCCTCGAGAATATTAAAAAGTCATCCAGGTAACAGTAACAAAAATCTAAACCAGGCGTGACCTCATCCACGAACCTTTGGAAGGTTTGACTTCCATTACGCAAACCGTAATTCATATACTTAAATTCGTATAAATCAAATGGTGTGGTAATCGCGGTTTTAGGTATGTCTAATTCACTGACAGGTATCTGATTATAGGCCTTAACAAGGTCTAAGGTAGTAAATATGTTACATCCAGCGATGCCGTGAGTAAAGTCATGGATGTGCCTTATGGGATATTTATCAGGAATAGTCCTAGCATTAAGCAACCTGTAATCGCCACAGGGTCGCCAGCCATTCTCTTTTTTGGGAACTAAATGTAAGGGAGAGGCCCATGAACTCTCTGATGGTCTGACGATACCGCTAGCAAGCATTGACTCAAATTCCTGTTTCGTGATTTTTAATTTATCAGGGAAAAGACGCCTGGGAGAGCATGAAATAGGAGGACCTGGTGTAATGCGAATATGATGTACGGTGTTATGTGGAATGTTACGTTGCGTCCCAGATGGACGTGTTATTTCTGGAAAATCGGCTAGAATATTATGGTACCTCGTGTCACCAGTCGCAACCTTTAGAGAGACCGCAGATTTATAATTATAAGTTGGGCGACTAAATCGCAGAGTATACCAATAGGTATAGTGCCATATGCTAGCCCACACATCTTGTCCAACTAAATCTTCCAACTAATTAATTGGACACCGATCGTATCAGAATCAAGATTCCCATCCGATTACGCACAATTAAAAAGTTGTCCAACTATCGGCCAACTGCTCGTTAGCACGGTTCCCTTATGAAAGCTCGCGGACTATCCAACTTTGTTGGTTAGTCGCACGGCAACATTCAAGACGAACCGACGCGCACGCGTAATTTCCCCACGCTCGGACTTGGGCCTTCGCCGACGGGTGCGACATCTGCCACCCTATCATTTGTTGCAAACGAAAAAGTAGAAGAGCTCATAGATGAAATGCAAAAAAGGCCAGCGTTGTACAAAAAAGTTCTTTTCAAAAAGGATGCACCCAAAATGTTCTGTTTTGTTTTAGTCTTCTTTTTATTATTAATGCAATTAGAGCGTTTTTTTTCCGCATTAAATTGCGTACTTTTGTAATTTAATCGACCAACTTTCTTTGATTGGTTAGCAACCGCAGACTTAATCGATTTTTTTTTGGAGTTTATGGCCTGGTATCTAGACCTATAGGCCAAGTCTTGAGTATTTTTATTCGGTTTATTATAATTTCCCAAATGTATAATTATCTTTCATAGTTCACTGCTTCACAATATGTTGATGCGTCACATTGTGCAGCCCTTGGGAGATTTTGACGGCAACTTGAGCCAGCAGACAGCTGACAGTTGGCGATGGTATCTAAAGGCGCCTATGCAGACAAACAGCTTATCTTGAGAATCCATCACCATCAGAGCACTTGTTTCACCGTTTCCACTAATAGTTCACATGCGTAGACAGTTAATACATAAAATCGCACCACTTTTACATATCAAAATCCACTTCAAACTATTATTTAAACTATAATACAGGAGCAACAAACCGCCGCCGGTCAATTTCCCGCCAAAACTCGACTTAATCGATTTAGTCCGTGACAGTGTTGCTAGCGCGGTGCGTGTGCGTGATAATACGGAAAAAAACGCTCTAATTGCTTTAATAATAAAAAGAAGACGAAAACAAAACAGAACATTTCGCTACCTGTGTCGACCAGGAACTTGCATTTTCAATCTTCGGTCAGTGACAAAGAGACGACCAGTCGAACTTGGGCAATCATCAGTCGCCATTAACGACTGCCCTTCATGTTTTCCGCCTGGAAATCACATGGGCGAACACACCTTTTGGCGTTGACACCGAATTTCGCATGGAACCAACATTTAGGATGCCTTCGATAGGAAGATGCTGATCGTGTCGATGATGAACGTTTGCGACGCTCATAATATTTCGTGCGAGAGCGAGATCTCCGATGAAGGCTTGTTGTTAGGTTTTCCACTTGCTTTATTAATTCTCTCAATTTCTTTGGCCATCGAATCCATCGTGGACCCAGGAGTTGGAAGTGCACAGTAACTGGTGGTAACTACTTGAGGCAACGATATAGCAATATCCTGGATTCTGTCCGCTAAATCTACTAATATCTCGAGCGAAGCGGTCGGTTGTGCTGCCAGAACAGAAGTCTACTCGTCCAAATTGTCCTCACGAACTCATCCGGAACGTTAAGACCCGCATGACTTTGCAGGCGCCGGAGAAATTGTGACGGTTTTCTGTCACCGAGCTCTTCCTGCATGAGCAATTATTTAACCTTCCTTTCATGAGACGCACTCAGTCTTTTAATAAGCTCTGACTTAAGCTTTTCGTATTTATCACTGGCAGGAGGGTTCACAGTAATGTCTTTTATTTCCTTAGATACCTGATGTTCTAATTGACCATAATTGACATAATTGAATTTAGTAGAATATTAGTTATACCAGAAATCGCAAATTGTCCTTCTACCTGAGCAAACCAAATCTCCGGTTCTTCTGGCCAAAATGGCGGAACACGAATCCCAACTTTGCAAATGTCGGTAGGCCCGACACACATGTACTCACTGCTGTGCTCGCGTTGTTTTGCCCATTATTGTATTAAATACGTATTCAGCTCGGGGTCACTAATTTAGCGAGATAAATAGTCTATATAAATAAGTTCACAACACTGACAGTTAAAATGTTTAATTTAGTACAAACAAGTAGGAGATATACAATTTAGCACAAACAAGCAGAAGATACACAAGCCAAGATAAAAGAGTATATAATAAAAATACAGTCTAGAAAAAGCACAATGAAAATTAAGAAGTAAAAATTACCCTGTATATCTATACAAATAAATGAAATTGAAATGTCTGTTTTTAATATTAAAATAACAGTTTTTTACTAAATGCATATGAAAGTACATGGGTCAATTTAAAATCGGTGGCAGAAAATGTGACTGTAAATTTTGAAAACAAAAGAAAATAAAATTCTGTTTAACTTAGTTGTATAGGTATTTATGTTGTGTAGATATCATTGTTAAATGCAATATCGTGGTTGAGTGCGATGTCTTGCCGTAATAATTAAATGTCTAAGGCGAAAACAAAGGATTAGCGATAACGAGCAACGTGCATTCCGCGTCGTATCGGTATTCGGTAGATCGACTGGTGAGCGCTGAGCGCAGTGCGCGGATGCAGGCGATCCTTTTGCCAGCTGTGTTCACGGAAATCCGGGCGGCGCGTTCAATGCCCGGCTGTTTCTACGAGCATTGTGTTGACAGTATATAGTGGCGTGTAAAAGTATTGTATATATTGAGTGTGACAGAGTATGTACGTGTGTATCTGTATAGGCATATGTGTGTGTGTATGTGTGTGTATAATGTAGGCAAGTAGCCTATAGGACCACACGTGAAGCACCAGCTTTCAAATAAAAAAAGAATCATCGAAATCAGTTCACCCAGAAGGAAGTTATGAGGTAAGACACAAATAAAAACATACAGTCGACTTGAGTACCTCCTCCTGTTTGAAGTCGGTAGAAAAATGGCATTGGTCAAAGATAGCGTAGTAAAGTATATAACTATGATTTAATTTTCTTTGAAGCTCCTACTGAGTATATCGATATAATTATATAATATATTTCTTTTCTATATGAAATTCAAGTGTTTCTATATCCTTGTTTCTTTCTTCATAGTATTATTTATTTGATTTTACAATATAGTTATTGAATTTTAACATATGGCGATTCGCTAGATTTGCCTTAGTTGTAGAAGTGACTAGACGTGGGCGTTATTTCACGTCACTAGTTACAATAACTGGCTACGCGGCATGTAACCGAATCACTAGTTTCGAGTCATATTACAAGTAGTGATTTTTGTAAATGCGTTATTACTGTGATCAAAGAGTATAGTAACTGTCCTATACAGGAATGTGATTGTTGCGAGAGTCGACTGTCGGTCGGTCAAGCGCAAAGTACACATGTGGCATACAACAATAAACAAAACAGCGTATGTAACAGTATTATTGTACGTTTAATTTTCATACGTAAGACTATAGATGTAGACAATATAAATAGAGTGATCTCTGTTTGTAAATAATTTCAACGGTTTGCAATTCCGGGAAGCGATAGTCACATTGAATTTAAGTAAAATAATTTAGTTTGTTTTAGTTCATCGTTGTACTTAATTATAATTTTGAATACTATCTTGTAAAAATTTACATTTATATGTTATTTTGGTGTTTTATGTACATTTACGGTAACGTTTCTTTGTTATTATATTATATAAATATAATTAGTGTGGATTGTACAAGTTTAAATAAACTGTGAATATCAATAATCATTGTATATACAATCAAAGTGACTTGTAAATACCCCTGCATTAATAATTTTATGAAAATCTTAGTTCCATAGTAAATACAAAACAATCATAAATACATTTAATGCAGTCAGTTCTAAGCCTGAATAAAGTATGAAGGGAAGTTAATTTATTGATTTAACTGTATAGCTAGAAACACTTAGATAGTGATTAAATTTATTTTCGTTTCGTGTGTAACTGTATAGTTCTTGGTGGTATTTATGCAAACAATCACAGTAGCCAAATAAAAATAGCCAGTTACAAAAATCACTAGTTTTGAAACAGGTGACGCAGACCAAGTCACTTGTTTCGTTACGTTTCTTGAAAATGACGTAACGACCCACGTCTAGAAGTGACATAATATTTAATCTTTTTCTTTTCAGTAGAATTGTTTGGTTTTGTTATTTATTACTGTTTTAACCATTAAACTTATTTACGCAACTTTTGTTTAATAAATTGTGTGATGATGTTTGATGACATTTTTTACACAGAAAAATATTTTTTCAAATAATAAAATTAATCCCTCCCTCTCCTTACAGTTTCCGTCCACTGCTGGTCATGGGCCATGGAAATAAAGGGGAGCACAGAATTTTACTGCCACAAATATTACCCACCTTTGCAGCGCTGTCCTAAACATCGCACGGAGTATTCGCGTTCCACTGAGATTAAATTTAGAAAAAATATTCTTTATACCTCCCACGTTTTTTTCTTGTCGTTATTACAACAAACAACGTTACATCCTATAAAAACCCCCACTGAACATAGGCCTCCACTATATTCCTCATAGAGAGTATACTTGTCATAGTAGCCACGTTCCACGGTATGCAACTATACTTGTCATAGTTGCCACGTTCTGATCCATCCACTGTTCAGTTCTGCCGAACTGAACAGTGGATGGACTCTTACGAAACCTACGGAATGATGTGAATATTCATACACCGCCACTACACAGTAAATGATAATTTCTCGAAACGTTTCATTTATCGACAAATCGTCTTGCAATCGTTGTTACTCTTGCGCTCACTT